TGAGTGGACACACCGCCATAGTGACAGTATTGGGCAGCGCCACTCATCCTGTGAGTGGACACACCGCCATAGTGACAGTATTGGGCAGCGCCACTCATCTTGTGAGTGGACACACCGCCATAGTGACAGTATTGGGCAGCGCCACTCATCCTGTGAGTGGACACACCGCCATAGTGACAGTATTGGGCAGCGCCACTATAGCAGCATGTACAACACTCCCCAATAGGAAGAAAACCCGCTGGGTTGTTCATCCTGTCACTTGTACCCAGACACAGCTGGGACTTTATGCTCTAACCTTCTAAACCGACGTGATTTACATTTGCTTTAGCTCCTTTATTTTCTCTCTTTTTCTCCCTCTTTCGTCTCTCGTTTTTTTTTCTCTCACTGCTGCCTCTTTGCCGTTAACTCTTCTACAATTTTGTATATTTCTATTAACTCTATTTGTATACATCTTTTCTCAAGACAAGATGTATACAAATATATGTATAGACAAATATATGTGAGTTTCATCTCACATGTCATTATTGGGACTTATTGTGTGCATCATGCGGATGTCCTCAAGAACGTGAGGCTGAGTAAGGCAACACTCAGGCACACTCACCACCAATTCGAGGAAGGAATGAGTACAGGGTGTTAAGGCTATCGGGCCAGGGGGGGGGGGGGGGGGGAGAGAGAGAGAGAGAGAGAGAGAGAGAGAGAGAGAGAGAGAGAGAGAGAGAGAGAGAGAGAGAGAGAGAGAGGCACCTACGAGAGCGCTCGAGGAATCGCCTAAGTCAAAAACTCCCCCTCTCCCTCTCCCTTCCCCTCTCCCTTCCCCTCTCCCTTCCCCTCTCCCTCTACCTTTCCCTCTCCGTCTCCCTACCATTTTCCTAGTCACTGTGCCCATCATCTACTGAGTGCCCCCCCCCCACTCCTGGTGACTGTAATGGGCTTGTTATTGCCCAAATATTCCTTGACTAAGTTAAGGCTCTCCCACACAACTGCCCTGGGTACTGGGGGTCCGAACTACGTGGTGCTCCATCACTTAAGAGAGTCAGTAAGACTGTAATGAGCGGTCGATAAAATGGGGATAAGCTGACAGACTGAGAACGGCGTGAACTTACACACCTGGGTCAACACACCTGGGTCATCAACACACCTGGGTCATCAGCACACCTGGGTCATCAGCACACCTGGGTCATCAGCACACCTGGGTCATCAACACACCTGGGTCATCAGCACACCTGGGTCATCAGCACACCTGGGTCATCAGCACACCTGGGTCATCAGCACACCTGGGTCATCAGCACACCTGGGTCATCAGCACACCTGGGTCATCAGCACACCTGGGTCATCAACATACCTGGGTCATCAACACACCTGGGTCATCAGCACACCTGGGTCATCAGCACACCTGGGTCATCAGCACACCTGGGTCATCAGCACACCTGGGTCATCAACATACCTGGGTCATCAGCACACCTGGGTCATCAGCACACCTGGGTCATCAGCACACCTGGGTCATCAACACATACTTGGCCAACATACTCATATGTCATCAGCACATACATGGGTCATCAGCACACCTGGGTCATCAGCACACCTGGGTCATCAGCACACCTGGGTCATCAGCACACCTGGGTCTCAACACACCTGGGTCAAGCACATACATGGGTCATCAACACTATTATCCTGTCTGCTCTCTCAAAACATCACTTATCCTGCTCTCTCTCTCTCTCTCTCTCTCTCTCTCTCTCTCTCTCTCTCTCTCTCTCTCTCTCTCTCTCTCTCTCTCTCTCTCTCTCTCTCTTAGAAACAGCAGCTGGAAAAAGACAAATGTGATGCCAATCAACAAGAAAGGAGATAGAGAAGAGGCACTTAACTACAGACCAGTGGCACTCACAAGCATCCGTTGCAAAGTCCTTGACAGAATTATAAGGTTAAGACTAGTTGCACACCTACAAAGAATTAGGTTTGTAAGCAAACATCAACGCGGCTTTAGGGAAGGGATATACAAGGCTGACGAACTTCCTGGAATTTGATGACAGAGAACACTGGGCAGATTGTGCATTTGTGGACTGCCAAAAAGGCTTTGATACAGTACCACACAGGTTATTATAGGAACTCCATAGGCAGGCAGGAGTAGGCGGCAACGCACTATCACTGGTAAGGAATTTCCTAGTAGACAGGAGTCAGAGAGTGACAGTGAGGGGCAAGAAGTTGGTCTGGCGTAGAGTAACAAGCGGGGTGCCTCAAGGGTCGGTGCTGGGTCCCATATTATTCTTCTTTTATGTAAATGACTTGACTGCAGGAGTTGAGTCTTATATGTCGGTCTTTGTAGACGATTCGACACTAATGAGAAGGGTTGAGATAGATGAGGATTGTAATATAAAGATGACTTTAAACAAGCTACAGAACTGGTCTGAGAAATGGCTGTTAGAATTCAACACCAGCAAGTGTAAGGTGATGGAAATGGAATCAGGAGTCATGAGACCGAAAGGCCAATACACGATGAAGGAAAACGTGTATTGGCCCAATAACGACTAGAGAAAAAGACCTCTGAGTGGACATAACAACAAGGCTAACTACGGAGGCCCATATAACTGAGGTTTATGAATAGAATAATATCGGCTGCCTACTGCATACGGGAGCCGGTCGGCCGAGCGGACAGCACGCTGGACTTGTGATCCTGTGGTTCTGGGTTCGATCCCAGGCGCCGGCGAGAAACAATGGGCAGAGTTTCTTTCACCCTATGCCCCTGTTACCTAGCAGTAAAATAGGTACCTGGGTGTTAGTCAGCTGTCACGAGCTGCTTCCTGGGGGTGGAGGCCTGGTCGAGGACCGGGCCGCGGGGACACTAAAAAAGCCCCGAAATCATCTCAAGATAACCTCAAGATACTCTACGCTGGCAAAGGTCAGAACATCCTTCAGGAACTTGAATAAAAGGAGGCTTTTAGACCACTGTATACCGCATATGTGAGGCAAGTTTTACAGTACGCCGTCCCATCGTGGAGCCCCCATCCTAATTAAAAAAAAAAAAACACATAAGGAAACTCAAATGGATGCAGAGGTTTTCAACAAAACTCATCCCAGAGCTACGAAGGATGAGGCATGAAGAAAGACTGAAGGAACTAAACCTGACGGAACTAGAAAGGGAGGAAAGAGAAAGGAGACATGATAGAGACGTATAAAATACTTAGGGGGGAACTGATAGAGTGGAAAAACAAGAAATACTTACAATATATACCACTTGGGCACGGATGGAAGCAGGAGACCCAGATGAATAACAGAGGTGTTAGAAAGTGTTATTTTATCTTCTACTAAAATATCTGATGCCTCCCACATTACACGGGGTAAATGGAATGACTTAGTAGAGTAGATTGTAGAAGAGAGTAGAAGAGTAGATTGTAGAGGCAAACTTAATTCACACAAACTTAATTCACAACATTAAAAGCAGGTATGATATGGAAATAGATCAGGAGTCACTGCATTAGACAACCAGAAAAATGGGGTCCAAGAGCCAGAGCTCAACCCCGCCGCAAGTTGTACTAAGCGAGTACAACTGGGTGAGTACCCACCAGCTCCCCCTCTCAGTGTCCCAGGAACTCCGCCAGTTCACTTCTGGTCTCCAGGAAGGCCCATAACATTGATCACCACAAGTGAGCTCGGTCACCGCTTCTGTGTAGCGGGGGGCAGCGCGCCCGCCCCCTGCTTCCCGGTACTGCCGCCTTTGTCCCCGTGTTGCTGTGGGGGGCGGTAGATGGCGTCGCGAGGGTGGTAGGTGGTGTGTGGTAGATGCTCTCGCGGTGGGGTAGATGGTGTGTGGTAGATGCTGTCGCGGTGGGGTAGATGGTGTGTGGTAGATGCTGTCGCGGTGGGGTAGATGGTGTGTGGTAGATGCTCTCGCGGTGGGGTAGATGGCGTGGTAGATGGTGTGTTGGTGTAGCAGAGCTGCCACATTAAACGCAGACGTACCATTACTTACAGTAGTACGTGCATACTAGACGCACAGTACAGCACTAGACGCGCAGTACCGCACTAGACGCACAGTACCGCACTAGACGCACAGTACCGCACTAGACGCGCAGTACCGCACTAGACGCGCAGTACCGCACTAGACGCGCAGTACCGCACTAGACGCACAGTACCGCACTAGACGCACAGTACCGCACTAGACGCAGATACACTACAATAAACACAGGGGTACCACACTTACCGAAGCTATTTTGTGTGATAGTAAAGAGAGCAGTTGCCGTGTGTGGTGAGAGCCGCGGTGCAAAGGTGCGATAATTAGCCAGAGTAATGGTGATGTTTGGCACGTGAGTAAGTGCTAGTTAGTGTGGGGGTAATAGCCAGCTTCGCTAGTTAGTGTGGGGGTAATAGCCAGCTTCGCTAGTTAGTGTGGGGGTAATAGCCAGCTTCGCTAGTTAGTGTGGGGGTAATAGCCAGCCTCATACAACCTGTCCTTTTAAAAAATAACGTCGCTTTTGGCCGTTTACCCGTATGACCGAAAGTGGACGTAATTTAAAAATGAAAATAAATTTGGGATTTTTTTTTCAACAACAGTAAGTTAAGGGTCCTCTGGTAGGTTAGGCGGGCAGGAAATTCTCATAAGTTTCAAAACGTTATGAAAAACGTTAATGGAACATTTCCTCTTCTAACCTTACCGAGTAAGCCGGACGACTCAAACAGGAAACGGGACAGTACGTCACTTTTGTGAGTCGATTTTATTTCAAATTACGTCCTATACATAGTGAGCATACGAGCCAAAAGCGACGTTATTTTTAAGAGGACGGGTTGGGTAAGAGAACCTCCTTAAGTCTTTCGCTTACCTGCCCTGTTTCATCTGGTTTCTTTGCTGTCCTTGTCTGTGTGTGTGTTTTGTGCCATCAAATACCAGCGTGTTTTAATTTGTTTGTGTTTATTTTAGAAGTTTGAGTATGTATTTAGCTCCTATGTGCCTCTGGTAATGGCAGGTAGTCCAGTATGGCCAGCCATACTGGAGCCGTGAAGCCATGAGACTATGAGCCATAGTCGTTGGTGGGCACCTCTGTCCTCGCCGTGAAGGTGGTCGTTGGTGGGCACCTCTGTCCTCGCCGTGAAGGTGGTCGTTGGTGGGCACCTCTGTCCTCGCCGTGAAGGTGGTCGTTGGTGGGCACCTCTGTCCTCACCATGAAGGTGGTGGTTGGTGGGCACCTCTGTCGTCGCCGTGAAGGTGGTCGTTGGTGGGCACCTCTGTCCTCGCCATGAAGGTGGTCGTTGGTGGGCACCTCTGTCCTCGCCATGAAGGTGGTCGTTGGTGGGCACCTCTGTCCTCGCCGTGAAGGTGGTCGTTGGTGGGCACCTCTGTCCTCGCCGTGAAGGTGGTCGTTGGTGGGCACCTCTGTCCTCGTCATGAAGGTGGTCGTTGGTGGGCACCTCTGTCCTCGCCATGAAGGTGGTGGTTGGTGGGCACCTCTGTCCTCGCCATGAAGGTGGTCGTTGGTGGGCACCTCTGTCCTCGCCATGAAGGTGGTCGTTGGTGGGCACCTCTGTCCTCGCCGTGAAGGTGGTGGTTGGTGGGCACCTCTGTCCTCGCCATGAAGGTGGTCGTTGGTGGGCACCTCTGTCCTCGCCATGAAGGTGGTCGTTGGTGGGCACCTCTGTCCTCGCCATGAAGGTGGTCGTTGGTGGGCACCTCTGTCCTCGTCATGAAGGTGGTCGTTGGTGGGCACCTCTGTCCTCGCCATGAAGGTGGTCGTTGGTGGGCACCTCTGTCCTCGCCATGAAGGTGGTCGTTGGTGGGCACCTCTGTCCTCGCCGTGAAGGTGGTCGTTGGTGGGCACCTCTGTCCTCGCCGTGAAGGTGGTCGTTGGTGGGCACCTCTGTCCTCGCCATGAAGGTGGTCGTTGGTGGGCACCTCTGTCCTCGCCATGAAGGTGGTCGTTGGTGGGCACCTCTGTCCTCGCCGTGAAGGTGGTCGTTGGTGGGCACCTCTGTCCTCGCCGTGAAGGTGGTCGTTGGTGGGCACCTCTGTCCTCGCCGTGAAGGTGGTCGTTGGTGGGCACCTCTGTCCTCGTCATGAAGGTGGTCGTTGGTGGGCACCTCTGTCCTCGCCGTGACGAATTACAGATCAGTGCTAGAGAACCTGTGATCCTAAAATGATCAATCTTGTAGCAACAGTTTGGTCAAACGTACAAAAATGGACTGTTGTAGCCTACAATGTTCACCTTTTGTACTATTAATTTTTATAGAGGGTGCAAAATAAAGCCCAAGCCTAACTTGAACATTTCTAGGCCTAGTATAGCGCATATATTTAATATATTAGGCCTATGTTAGCTTGGACAGGTTATCTCTGTCTAAGCAGAGGTAACCCCTGTTGTCTCACTACCTCCCCTGTTCTTGTCTCACTCTCTGGGAGTCTCTCATCTGATGTTTCCTCATCTCTCACCGCTGGGACCGGGCCCGTGTCGAACATCAATGTCATGGAGTTCCTCGCAGATGTCGTGTTTTTTCATTCATTCTCGAGTCATTTTCAGTGTTGACATTTGGTATTTCAAGTGTGTGTGTGTGTGTGTGTGTGTGTGTGTGTGTGTGTGTGTGTGTGTGTGTGTGTGTGTGTGTGTGTGTGTGTGTGTGTGTGTGTGTGTGTGTGTGTGTGTGTGTGTGTGTGTGTGCGTGTGTGTGTGTGTGTGTTACAGATAAATATATGTAGTAAATATAATAGAGGAAAAATAGATTGGTTAGAAAGGCTGGGTCCAAGAGTAAATAGCTCGATTCTACAGACACAAATAGTAAATACAAACATAACTAGCGGCACTACAACTAGTTACCGGTTGATTTAAAGACACAGAAAAATAAATAATATTTTGTGGCTCAAAAATCTGCTCTTGAAGCTCTTGAAAACTCTCGCAAGATGGACAGCAAGAACCTCATACTAGCAACTATAAATGACCTGATCGCTGCGCAGGATAAAGAGTTAGCTCTTTAAATAAATTTATAGAGCTTTGAATAAAGCTCTTTTGTACGGCTGCCATCCTGCTAAATCTAACCTCGACAATGACTCAGACATTGCATCCAAATTAGTGTATAATAAGGAAGACATTGAATTAGACATACGTATGGTTCTATGGCTGAGAATGCTCCCTACCTCTCGTAATCGTAACGAGGGATTACCCCCTCTCATAACTACCATAACCCCCCCCCTAACCACCTCCCCCCCTCCCTTGGGGGGCCCCCCCCAACCACAATGCCAAATTCGGCAATGCTCTAACGGCCCCTAATTAGGGCTATTGACCTGGGCAATGGCTTCAAGCATCGACTGCAACACAGAGTATTAGTTGACCATTTTGACTCGATAATGAGGCTCTCTACTGTTAATTCATACAACCGTTAATGTATTTTATCGTCATGTATACATCCCCCCCCCTCCCCCCCACACCCCTCACGGAGCTCGATCATGGCGTGGAACATGTTACACATGAACATCTGTGGAACACCTGTCACAAAGGTGTATGGTAGTGTGGTGGTGGTGTTGGTAACCTGTGTGGAATCTATACTAGGGGGGGCCCTCTCAGCACCGTATACACCTGCAGGACTGGTTCACTGACTGACTGGTTTAATGACTGATTGGTTCACTCACTGATTGGTTTAATGACTGACTGGTTCACTCACTGATTGGTTCACTGCCTGACTGGTTCACTGACTGACTGCTTCACTGCCTCACTGCTTCACTGTCTGACTGCTTCACTGCCTGACTGGTTCACTGACTGGTTCACTGACTGGTTCACTGACTGCTTCACTGCCTGACTGGTTCACTGATTGGTTCACTGACTGGTTCACTGACTGGTTCACTGACTGGTTCTCTGACTGGTTCACTGCCTGACTGGAGGTTTCAGTAGCTTTCTCTTCAGCGTGTTCTTGTTGTGATAAGAATCCAACCCCCCCCCCTCTCTCTCTCTCTCTCTCTCTCTCTCTCTCTCTCTCTCTCTCTCTCTCTCTCTCTCTCTCTCTCTCTCTCTCTCTCTCTCTCTCTCTCTCTCTCTCTCTCTCTCTCTCTCTTTCTCTCTCTCTCCCCCCCCCTCCCCCACAGACCCCAACAATACTCTGCTCCACCACAGACAAATGATATGTAGTAATAATCTCTTTAAGAAAACTTTCTTCTGGCCACTTCGTATAGAAGAAAAAGTTAATGAAACGCTCGTCCTGCGAACTGGCTTTCCAAAATGGCGGCCGCAGATGGGTGTGGGAATCGGCTGTTGCTGTTATCCGACAATGTCGTGTACCGTCTTGAGGATTCTGTACCGTTGTTAAGCCCGTGTACCGTCACTCAAGGTCCTGGTGTCGGAGGGCCTGTTAGTGCGGACCTCAGGAGTTACCAGGGAGTATTAGTCTTGCTGGTGCGGGAGCGCCGTAGCCTAGCGGCGAAACTCACCAGTAATCGTCTTTGGTACCAGTGTCGGGCGCCTGTTGCCTGCGTGTAGACTGACAGGCTACGCGCGCCGCAGTGCGTATATGTAGAATATTTATGTGTTTGCTGGTCAAGTTTAGGGTATATGGAAGTAGATACTTGAAGCATATATGAGTAGATAGTGAGGCATATATGTGAGTAGATAATGAGTCATATATGAGTAGATAATGAGGCATATATGTGTGTAGATAATGAGGCATATATGTGAGTAGATAATGAGCCATATATGTGTAGATAATGAGCCATATATGTGAGTAGATAGTGAGGCATATATGTGAGTAGATAATGAGCCATATATGTGTAGATAATGAGCCATATATGTGAGTAGATAGTGAGGCATATATGTGAGTGGATAATGAGGCATATATGAGTCGATAATGAGGCATATATGAGAGTAGATAATGAGGCATGTATGAGTAGATAATGAGGCATATATGTGTAGATAATGAGGCATATATGAGAGTAGATAATGAGGCATATATGAGAGTAGATAATGAGGCATATATGAGAGTAGATAATGAGGCATATATGAGTAGATAATGAAGCTTATGCAGGTAGATACCGAGTCATTTATTCACAAGTCACTTATTCAGGTCAAAAATAATACACTTAAAGGTAGATAATAATTCAGTATCAGAACTCTCATGCTACTCGTACAAAAATATACAAATACTGAACAGTACTGGTAGATACAAACGCAGTACTGGTAGATACAAACGCAGTACTGGTAGATACAAACGCAGTACTGGTAGATACAAATGCAGTACTGGTAGATACAAATACAGTACTAATACTACAGTACCTCGAGGTAGATGATAATAATACAGTACAAGTTATATATACAGGTAGAAGTAAATACAATACAGGTAGATATAAATACAATACAGGTAGATATAAATACAGTACAGGTAGATATATATACAATGCAGGTAGGTAATATTTCAGTACCAGAAATCTCATAATCCAGATACAGGTAGATAAGAAAACATTACACAAAATGATCTAGGACTAAGGAGACGTGACGGCCTGTTTAGTGAGCATAACAAGGAAAAGTTAGCTCCAGCCAGGACAACGAAAGTGTGGATTATGAGAATCTATAAATCAAGAACTCCCTCACCCCTTTCTCGTGGGTTCGAATCCTCCTTATGGCTCCTACGGAGTTTCTCAAGGCACGAGAGATTTCTGAAATTTGCTCAGTAAATCGCCTAAATTACTGGCACCATCTCGAAGCACTCAAAATGTGTTTTCTCAGGAAAGGATTTGTTGTTATTTAAGATTCGCTACTTGGAACAAAAAGTTGCAAGTAGCACGGGCTATGGTGAGCCCGTAGTGGTCTACGGGCTCACATAATATATACATGGGGAGATACTCGAAGGCAGGTCCCAAATATGTACAGTCGAATAACAACTTACTAGAGCGAAGGAATATTATAGGAAATACAAAGGCATAACAGACCCAGAAAATAGTAGTGGTACCATGGGAACAATCAGAGAACACTGTATCATCACCACAGGTCACGGCTCTTAAACCTTCTTCCACTAGATATAATAAATATTGGCAGAACAAAAGTGGAGGTTTTCAAGAGGCAAATGGACAACATCGTGCAGATAGTGCCAGATAACCCCGGTTGTAATGTATATATATATGAACCTGTGGACCTGGTCAGCAATAGCTTGACTGATCAAGTTATCACCAGACAAGCCTAGCTTGGGGCAGTAAAACTCTCGAAACCAATTACAGCTAAACTACAGGTAAATTATAACTCTTATAAATTTTAAGATTAAGAATTGACAATGTTAAGATTGTCGTGTTTATACAGGCAGACGGGGACGCTTATATATGTAGATATTGATACACATGCTTGTGGGTAATTGCACATACACAGGTGGCCAACATACCACATATTTACAAAAACTGAAGAGCGTTGTTTTATATGATTTGATTATACACACATTCATTTTGTTAAACGTTTTACCCATAGCTGTTACGTCTAAATATTGTTGTGACTACTTTGGCAAAGGGGAAATTAACAGTGTACCGAAGACGAAGCGTTTTATCTACGCAGGTGGATGCGACTGGATGCGAGAACCTGTGCGAACGACTCATGAATCCGCAATGAATCATTTGAAAGTTGACAAGCTACCCTTCACATGCGGGGCCCCGCCTCCCTCCGCCTCTCACACATTACAACGAGCCCAATCGTTTTTTTTTTTTTGTTATCTTGTCTCTCCCGTTCCCAAGCCACACTCACAACGCCACTCCCCCCGTCCCTCTCTCCCTTTTCCTACCCTACTCTCCTTTTTTATATACAAAACTATTTTTTTATCTCATTTTATCGGTTCAGGAGTATTCTCTACCTCTAGGCACAGAAGATTTTACCCGAGCGAGAAGAACTAAGATGGGTGGGAGGCAGGTCATTCTAATCTGTAATTCGGAGGAAGGATAAGGTAAACAAGCGAGAAATATGGGAAGAATGCGATGTAAACAAACGGTGGGGGTGATGAGGTCCTTTACTTCAGAGTTGAAAGATCCTTCATGAAGGTACGGGACTTGTGGCCGGAAAACGTATCATACACTCACATGACTCATTACCGCTTTATAAATAAACCACACATTAAACACAACATATTCCGTATTTCTTAATGTAAAATTGTAAAATGGTCATGTTGAATGCAGGACTATATGAATCAATATAAAATAATTGTTAAAATATTTATAAATTAAAATACGCCTGATAGTTTTCTAGTGTTGGCAGCCCTGCCGTGACGTAGTACTCGAGCGGTTTGCGACGAAGGCGCCAGAAACTCCCTCAGTTTGAGTGAAACTGTGGTGGGGAGAGGACATACTCGTTCATCCCCGAGTGATATATCATGGAGCTTTCTTTAGTGGGCGATAGGGTTTATGCAGCCGAATGCATACAGAAGAAAAGAGTGAGGAGGGTACGTAGCGCCGAAACTGTGTCAATGGTGCGAAAATAGAGCTGAAAAGTGAAAAATAAGGCGGTACTTAGCGACTCGACTCATTTGTTTTGGTTTCCGTTGCAGGGTCGTGTGGAGTATTTGGTCAAATGGAAGGGCTGGTCTAACAAGTAAGTCAACCACGCGGTTTACTGTGATGTATACGAGTGGTAGATACACCTCCCCCACGCACGTGTGGCACCTCCACCTCGCCTCTAACACCCCCGCTCCCTCTCCTTCCAGACACAACACATGGGAGCCGATTGAAAACATCTTGGACGTCCGCCTGCTGGAGGCCTTCGAGGAGAGGTAGGTAGCGCATGCGTGTGTGTGTGAGTGTGCGTGCGTGTATGTGTGTGTGTGTGTGTGTGTGTTTGGCCTCCACACCCGGTAACACCAGTGTTCGCGGCAGGTTTGTGATAGGAGGAAATATTGCTGCTGGGTTGGGTAAAAAGGCTAGGCGAGCGTCGGCTCGGGGCTAGGAGTGGTGGTGTTTCTCGCGTCTACACCCCGCTTAACTTAACACTATTTGCTAGCTTTGAATGCATCATTCCCACGTTTTTTCCCCGTCTCTTTTTGCCACTTCATAACGGCCATACTGTTGTGATTTTGTATGCGTAGGCCTATACATCTTTTACATTGTGAGGCATAGGTGTATTGATTTGGCCTCCTCGGCGTTGTCAAGTCGGGTAGTTTGGTTGTCTAGTGACTTAAGTTTGTCATTATGATCAAGAATGTTGCATTGTGTAATCTGGACTTTATTGTCAATAGGATTGTTATCGTCAGGATAACATTGTGAGGTCTGATGTGCTGTCCATTCACCTGGATTGTATTTCCACGGAAGCGTGGATGGCCATTTATCTGATATGCTTGTCAGTATGATCAAGATCTGTCGTGTTTGTCAGTGTGAAGATCTGTCGTGTTTGTCAGTGTGAAGATCTGTCGTGTTTGTCAGTGTGGAGATCTGTCGTGTTTGTCAGTGTGAAGATCTGTCGTGTTTGCTTGTGTGTGTGTATATCAGTATGATGGTCAAGCTCTTGTGTGTGTGTCAACATGGTCAAGCTCTTGTGTGTGTGTCAACATGGTCAAGCTCTTGTGTGTGTGTCAACATGGTCAAGCTCTTGTGTGTGTGTCAACATGATGGTCAAGCTCTTGTGTGTGTGTCAACATGATGGTCAAGCTCTTGTGTGTGTGTCAACATGATGGTCAAGCTCTTGTGTGTGTGTCAACATGATGGTCAAGCTCTTGTGTGTGTGTCAACATGATGGTCAAGCTCTTGTGTGTGTGTCAACATGATGGTCAAGCTCTTGTGTGTGTGTCAACATGATGGTCAAGCTCTTGTGTGTGTGTCAACATGATGGTCAAGCTCTTGTGTGTGTGTCAACATGATGGTCAAGCTCTTGTGTGTGTGTCAACATGATGGTCAAGCTCTTGTGTGTGTGTCAACATGATGGTCAAGCTCTCGTGTGTGTGTGTCAACATGATGGCCAAGCTCTCATGTGTGTGTGTCAACATGATGGCCAAGCTCTTGTTTGTGTGTGTCATTATGATGGTCAAGCTCTTGTGTGTGTGTGTCAACATGATGGTCAAGCTCTTGTGTGTGTGTCATTATGATGGTCAAGCTCTTGTGTGTGTGTGTCATTATGATGGTCAAGCTCTTGTGTGTGTGTGTCAACATGATGGTCAAGCTCTTGTGTGTGTGTGTCAACATGATGGTCAAGCTCTTGTGTGTGTGTGTCAACATGATGGTCAAGCTCTTGTGTGTGTGTGTCAACATGATGGTCAAGCTCTTGTGTGTGTGTGTCAACATGATGGTCAAGCTCTTGTGTGTGTGTCAACATGATGGTCAAGCTCTTGTGTGTGTGTCAACATGATGGTCAAGCTCTTGTGTGTGTGTCAACATGATGGTCAAGCTCTTGTGTGTGTGTCAACATGATGGTCAAGCTCTTGTGTGTGTGTCAACATGATGGTCAAGCTCTTGTGTGTGTGTCAACATGATGGTCAAGCTCTTGTGTGTGTGTCAACATGATGGTCAAGCTCTTGTGTGTGTGTCAACATGATGGTCAAGCTCTTGTGTGTGTGTCAACATGATGGTCAAGCTCGTGTGTGTGTGTCAACATGATGGTCAAGCTCGTGTGTGTGTCAACATGATGGTCAAGCTCTTGTGTGTGTGTCAACATGATGGTCAAGCTCTTGTGTGTGTGTCAACATGATGGTCAAGCTCTTGTGTGTGTGTCAACATGATGGTCAAGCTCTTGTGTGTGTGTCAACATGATGGTCAAGCTCTTGTGTGTGTGTGTCAACATGATGGCCAAGCTCTTGTGTGTGTGAGTCAACATGATGGCCAAGCTCTTGTGTGTGTGTGTCAACATGATGGCCAAGCTCTTGTGTGTGTGTGTCAACATGATGGCCAAGCTCTTGTGTGTGTGTGTCAACATGATGGCCAAGCTCTTGTGTGTGTGTGTCAACATGATGGCCAAGCTCTTGTGTGTGTGTCAACATGATGGTCAAGCTCTTGTGTGTGTCAACATGATGGTCAAGCTCTTGTGTATGTCAACATGATGGTCAAGCTCTTGTGTGTGTGTCAACATAATGGTCAAGTGTTGTGCATATTTGACATTTAATGTAAGCTGAGTATCTTTTTAAATAAACCATATACGTCCCATTTAACGCAAATCCTCCTCTTAAGCATTTGCAGGATTGTTGAAAGAAGAAATTTTTAAGCTTATAATAATTTTGATATCGAGCATTTTATGGTCATTTAAATTTCTTATTAATAAATTATTTTATGACTGTCAATATTACTGAGTAGCTACACTCCTTTAAATTTGTGTCAGCGTTTCAAAAAAGTAATTTAAATAATGAAATGTCACCCCCTTGAAACCAAATTGATTGATCCTTGTGTAGCTGTCCTTTATTGCAATACTCCTTAGGGGGGTTATCTTAAGATGATTTGCCTAATTAGTGGGGGCAATAAGGGGTATTGCCTAATTATCCTCCGCTCTTAATGATTCGTAATCACACCGCGATAGATGTTACTGTAGGACTGATGCATAGCGTCTATATTTATAAGTCGAGCCTGGCCTCGGGCCGGGCTTGGGGAGTAGAAGAACTCCCAGAACCCCATCAAGCAGGTATCAATCAAATATAATAAGTGTTTTGTGCTTGTTAGAATTTTTGCGTTATCTAGACTTTTCACAAATGGTGTAATCAAGTTTTTGAACGATATGGTGTTTCCTGGACTTGGGCATAATCAAGTGTGCATTGATTATAGTGTGTGTGATGTGGTGGGGGCGTGTGAGATCAATATGGTGTAATCAACAGTTTAAGATCAATATGGTGAAACTAGTGTGTGTAGTTAATGCACTATTATATTTATATAGCCTAATTGTCATCTGGAGAAACATGCAGGTAAGGTTGACGTGTCATCCTGTATTCGTATACATTACAATGTGTGTTGACACACACACACTAATTGTTCTTATGTTGCAAGCTATATACGGCAGCGGATGATATTACCGAGCCAGAGTGTACTAATACAAACAAAAAAGGTAGCCGAGGCGTTAATCCCTAGGCTTTATTTCAACTCCAGCCAGGGGTGCTGACATCAGTCACAGCTACGAGCGAATTGTCCGGCCCCTCCCTGCCGCCGTCCACCACCAACAATCCTTTCATCTCCACCCCTCCATCTTTACCCCAACACACACCCCCTCCATCACCACTCCCACACACACACACACACACACACCCTCCATCTCTACCCCCCCCCCCCCCACACACACACACCCTCCTTCTCCACCCCCACACACACCCTCCCTCCCCCAGTCCTGCCGACCTCAACGCCCCGCCTCCTCTCTGGCTCGAGCCACCATTCAGGTAGTCACTCCCCAGCCAGTACTCATCTGTAATAATGATAATACGACGCTTGTGCCTGGCTAAATCACTTTTAATGCTGCGAGTGACATCTCTCTCTCCGAGATGACTGCTTCATCAGAGTTAGTGGGGGTGAAGGGTCGTGATGAGTGAGGCACTGGGAGGAACACTCCCATGTCTGTCTGAGTGAGTGGGAGTGCAGCCCAACCGTACTGTAAAGGCTTCCAAAGAATTCCACCCCCCCCCCCTCAAGATGAACGAAATTTGCATCAAGTGAGGTTTGGGTTAGAGATGGTACAGTTTATCACTGCGGAAAGGTGTGGAGGGTAATAAGCTTTGATGGTCAGTATATCATGGTTTAGTAGGTAGGCTGGCCCAGGGTGCCTTCAGCTGCCTGGCGAAGACTCATTAATGAGGGCAAGATGGGTGTCCTAGAGCTACCTCATGAAGACTCGTAAAAGGAACCAGATGAGTATAGCCTGGTGTGCTGCCTGAACGCACATTAATGAAACAAGATGGGTGTATCAGGACTCGGTCAACAGAATGAAAGCACAAGTTGAATAAGCGCATTTGAATGCGGATGGTGTTTCGGTGTCGTGCATGTGTGTGAGGGGAGATACATAAATGGAAGCTTTGTTTGATACAGGTGTGTTTGGGAGCCTGGGAGGGTGTGTTTGGAAGCCTGGGAGGCACCTGAATGAGGACATTGCCTGATACCAAGATGGTGGTCGGTTAACCTTTTTAAAATAAAGATTTCGTTGAATAACCTACTACTAAATATTGAAGGCACCTTAGGTACTTGTAATCTACGAGGAGGGATGCAGAGGAGACGGCGCGATGCGACTTATTTGCCAGGAAATAGTTATAAATTACGCGTGAGCATACCTATGCGTATTTGTGACTTCACGCTTATTTACAGGCTTAGAATGTGGGCAGTAATCCGCAATATCAGGGAGAGAGGGGGGAAGAGTGGGAGCAGGGAGGCTGAGAGTTGAGAGAGAGGGGAAAGTAGAGAACGAAGGAACAGGAGAAACTCGTATATTAGAGTTGCGTGGAGGGACGTGAGAGGAGCGTAACCAGATGGAGCGTAGATGAAGACAAATGGGGGCGTGTATCAAGGTGCAGGGGAGGCTGGGAGAGCTGTGGGTGGTGATGGGGTGAATGGTGGAGGCATGAGGCCCTGCCTGGCTCTCCTCTCGTGTGGACTGGCCGATTGTCTCCACAAGTAATACAGCGTTTTTTATGCCTGGGAATGTGTGACCTCAACGGGCCTCTGGTGTGGGGGTTACTGGATGTCTCTCCCACCTGGCCACTCACATTTAATAAGAATTAATTGAAATCCCCAGATTAGGCAAAATTGTAATTAATTTTGTCAATAAAGATGTTAATAAATGTTAATAATACTCACTCTTCGCGTCGTAATTTTTAGTCAATCG